TATATATATATATATATATATATATATATATATATATATATATATATATATATATATAACATAAAAGTGCCAGTGCGTGACATATACCTAACCTGGATAGCTGCTTCCTTATCTGTGTAAACTAATATTTTCATTTGCAGTTGTTTTTTTTTCATAAATAGTATCTCCGGGTGTTCATGTTTATAGCATATGGTATATATAACTTATTACATGCAACTTTGTACAATATATTTTATTTTCCCATTAGCAGATACGATCTATCTGACGCATGCGCATAACGTTCATAATACACTCAGAAAGAGAGAGAAATATATTATCTTGGGAGCGTCCCGATTGACCGCGGTACGATTGGACACAACCAACCGATGAAAAGAATTATCTAGTGAATTACCAGGTCGAACCAATCATTATAATCTGTGTCCAATCGTATCGTGGTCAATCGGGTCCCATCCTATTATCTTGCACGGTGGTTCTGGGGCTAGACTTCTCTCTCCTTTAGCAATATAGTAATATTACATATATGCTATTTATGTGAAAAAAAAGCAGCTGCAAATGAAAATATCAGTTTACACAGGTAAGGAAGCAACTATCTAGGTTAGGTACATGTCACGCACGGGCACTTTTACTTTATATATAAATATATAAATAAATAAATAAATAAATAAATATATATATATATATATATATATATATATATATATATATATATATATATAAAACATCATCTGATCGCCGCGACTGCGCACTACGGTCAAAATATACTCCTCGGTAGGGATAGGCGATATTCAAAAACGAATTGATGTTTCGTAAATCGATTATATAAAAAAAAATTGATTATGCATCGATAGTTTATGAAAATAAGTATCGGATATTCGATTAATTATGTTTTACGGCTCTACCCAAGGAGAACAGAAAAGTCAAAATAATGTCAATTTAATATAAATGATGTTATATTGACGTTATATCGACCAAAAAATGACGTAAATTAAATATATGCATTAGATCAGGGCTCGGACAGTGATGAATTTTTGCAAAATGTTCGCCATCCCAGAAAGCTTCGTGCGCATGCGTAAGCTGACGTCACAGATAGAAATCAACTGCGTTCAGAAATGTATCTAAGGTATAGTAGTAGGTGCTATAAGGAACCCTTGTACTGTTCCCGTGTGTGATTATAAACAAGTGTCAACGTGTACTGAGTGAATAATTTTAAAGATTGGTTAGCGTCACATAATAATAATGAAAAAGCTCTCTGCGCGGTTTGTAATCTAGTTCTTGCTACGCTCCAGTGTAATGCTTTTCAGACAGTAGATCAAATGATCCCTTTATTGAAACAAACTTGCTCTGATCCACAGGTGGTTAACGATCTAAAACTGGGTGTATATCAGTTGGACACGGGGCAATTGGACACAGTTCAATCACAAGTCGCAGTTCCAAGGGACCCTACAAATGTCTCTAATCACACGGTGCTATGATTGGCTGTGTCCAAATGCACTGTGTCCAAGTGCACCGCTCCCTCTAAAACTTATTATTATTCATATTACTTGCACTCTATTCCTATCAATTTTTAAACAATTTTCCTCCCTCCTGCTAATTCCTTCACATTTCCTTTCTCGCAGGGCCCTAACGATACCTTAAATTTGACGAAAGTATATACGTAAGTGAAGACTCCGAGCGTTTGCTCTGTACGCATGCGCGGGTCACATCTTGCAAAAATTCATCACTCGGAACAGTTTGCCAATTTCGGCCGATTCTCGGAAGCTACGCCTTTTATCTCCTCCTTGCTGTGCGATGGGCCAAGAAAGTGACGGTCGTATCTCTAAAGGTCGTTCTACATTAGTTGCAAGCCGATCGCAAGTAGACGCAATTTTTATTGCGACAGCCAATCAGAAACATCAATAATGTTGACACTTCTGATTGACTGTCGCAACAAGAGTTGCAATCGACTTGCAACTAATGTAGAACGACTTTAAGCTTGGAGCTGCGACTGGTCGCGACCGTCATTTTCTAGGCTCGCCACGCGGCAAGGAAGAGATAGAAGACGTAGCTCCCGAAAATCGGCCGAAATTGGCAAACTATTCCGAACCCTGCATTATGGCTCCTGCACACAGGACGCGGTAATGCTTGCCGCGCGGCGGAAGTCCGCGCGACAGCCAATCAATATGTTGTTTTTCCGTAAGAGCTAGAAGGTAGTATTACGGAAAGTAGCACATTGATTGGCTGTCGCGCGAACTTCCGCCGCGCAACAAGCATTACCGCGTCCTGTGTGCAGGAGCCATTAAGTTAGCGGCACACGATGCTTGTTTTCGTGCTGGATTGCTTGCTGGATGGAAATATATTATTCTGATTGGCCCGTCTTCATAAATGCACCAATCAGAACAGAGTATTTCCATCCAGCAAACAATCCAGCATGAAAACAAGCATCGTGTGCCGCTGGCTTTAGATCTAAAAAATAATCCAATCTCAATACTAATATAATAAAAATTTTTAATAAGCGTAAAATAAACATTCTGTTGAATGCAGTCATTATTTTCATAGAAATATAATTTTTCTATTTAACTCTAAAATAAAATAAAGTTCCGAAAAGTACTCATCTCTGATTTTTTTTAACTCAGTATTCCTACGTATATTGACGCGTTGATTACGAATATCATAGTGAAAATTGGCGACTACTTGATTTTCATGATGAAAACCATGAAAAACCCATAAAATTACGGTTTTTTACGTTTATCTTAGTAAATACGAAAAATCATGATAAATGTTTTAAACAAAAGTTTTAGATCTCACTAAAGTTAGTTTTATCACTGAAATAAATATTTTAGGTCCTATACATTTTCACCGTACAAATGATAGTTTTCGAGGAAATGGAGTATAAAGACCGTAACAACGCTATTACGGTCTTTATACTCGATTTCTGTAAATCCCTTTTGCAGGTTATTTCGCCACGTAGATAGTATATTTCCCCCGAATCGTGGCGAAAAGAAATGAAGGAAAAAGGACTTATAGTTATGAACTCTAACAACTTTTTTTTAAATATTTTTAATATTTTTAACATTTGCAACACGGGAAAAATATCGAACGACTAACGAGGGGCTGCGCCCCCCGCAACCCTCTGAAAACTAACCTAACCCTACCTATCGTCACATTAGCTGTCGGCCATTGTTTATTAAAAAGTTATTAAGAAAAAAAGTTAAACACTTTTTAATCGCAACGACGATAGATATTAACGCTGTTACAGTCTTTATACTCCATTTCTTCGAAAACTATTATTCGTACGGTAAAAATATATAGAACCTAAAATGTTTATCTCTGTGAGATCTAAAGCTTTTGTCTAAAATATTTATCATGGTTTTTCGTATTTACTGAGATAAACGTAAAAAAACTATAATTTTTATGGGTTTTTCATAGTTTTTATCATGAAAATCAAGTAGTCGCCAATTTTCACTATGATATTCGTAATCAGCGCGTCAAAATACGTAAGAATACTGAGTTTAAAAAAAATCGGGGGTAAGTACTTTTCGGAACTATACCCCTACAATATTTATAATTATATTTTTTTTATAAACAATTTTTATTATTACAATTAATTATAAACAGTGTTCCATGAAGTTCGTCAAACGTCATATATTGCGTTATTCAGTGATGAAGTATCTAAAAAATTATAATTTTATTAATTTATTAAAAGACCCCTAACACAGCACAGATGTCCAGGGGACATCCAGAGTACATCCTAAGGAAGTCCTGAGGACATTTATTCATCCTTAGGACGTTCTCAGGAGATCTTATGCTGTTTGGGACGTGGTTTGTGGCCGGTATTTATAC